CTCCGAACCACCGATTTTGTGACACAGTTTAGGGTGGATTTGTGAGTTTCTGAAAACAGCAAAGTCATCGGTATTTACGGTGGTTTCAATGTGTTTTACATACCCAGGAAAGACGGAGGTAGATCATGGGGGGGGGCTGACCAAATATGTATATATATATATATACATATGTACATGTGTTTGCTGCTGCTCTGGACACTCTTCCCGGTAAGGGGGCCCCTTTTTTTACGGTCTTCCATACTAAGTAGTTTGTTTTGTTTTTTGGGTTTGCGGGGGGGTGACAAGGGCTGCAGACCACAAGCCCACAAAATTTCGACGCTACACTCAACCCCAACTCGGAGGTTCATGGGCAGCTACATGTGGGGTTATAATTATAAGTAGGGTAACGAAGGGGTCTGAATAATTAGGATAGGGTTTTGGGGCTACTCATACTGTAACCATAATAAGGAACCCCCAAAAGAGTATTGGAATTATGTAGGCCCCTATGTTACCTACAGTTATAACCCATATTCCAGCACTGATAACTCCAACAGGGGGTAGGGCTTAGGGTTTAGGGTAACCGTAGTTAGAACCCAGATGAGGGGACGTAGAACCCCACATATAACTACCCATAACCTCCAAGTAGACGCCGCGGCGGTCGACCACTCCACACCAAATCCTGAAAGCCCAATCAAAGTAGGTGTTGATTTCAACAGTCCCCCAAAAGTATCAGGGCTCTATATCTGCAAGCTTTCAGCACCCGGCAGCAGCACCAGCTGTATCTGCTGCCGTGGGATTCGCCTTTCACAATAGCCTCGGCACAGACATGGCTGAGGCTGCACATGATAAAGAGTGTTTAGGGTTTTGGGTTTAGGGTTTAGGGTTTAGGGTTTAGGGGTTTAGGGTTTTAGGGATTAGGCAGTGAGCCCCAGAACGGTTAGAACATGCATCATACTGGGCTGAACCTAAGGGGCATCAGGATAATGATGCTTCAACTTTTTGGCTTCTACCACAGGTTTTCGGATTTAGGGCATAACAGGCACGAATGTACGGTTCAAAAGTCAGTCTCTTTGCGCAGGATTTTGGATGGGATAGTTAGGTCGGTGTACCGTATAGTATCGACCGTGAACTATGCAGAGCATCATGTGCCCACCGGTCAAGCTCAGTTCCGGATTGCTCATGCCGATGTCGCAAGGTGCTCTACAATCATACTACTACAATCCACCACCACCCCTTTGCAAGAACTATTGTGCTCCCAAAGCAACACAGATCTTCCAAGCACAATCGTCTCGTGCGTTGCGGCGTTGTGTATTACCAGGAGGGCAACGATCTGCTTCACAGTGAAATTGCAAGTAATTCCATACCCTAAACCCTAAACCCTAAACCCTAAACCCTAAACCCTAAACCCCTAACCTAAACCCTAAACCCTAAGCCCTAAATCCGCGGGTGAGTCGGGGACCTCACAACCGAACCCATAATGTTGGGAGTTGGGAGGGCTACGGTTGATGATATAAATCCTGCATTACCCATAAGAAGCAATATACAGTAATTCCCATCGTTTAGGGTCCCTTAAGGCAATGCAGGATTTATAACATCAACAGTATCATACAAGAAGAATCCCCCAACAAAAGCAATCAGGCATGTTTTCGGGAGCCGCAAGTCCGTGATCAAGGTCACAAGAAGCACGCTTCTGCCCTCTTGCGGGTTTCTTGATACCCTACGCCCTTTTTATGACAAACCTTCTGTATAATAACTGAACTATATCTAATATACATCCTATCTTCTTCAATAGCCGGGCCCGGCAGAGTTCAGTTTATCTAAGACAGACCAAATACAAAAAGCTAAACCCGAAACCCTAAACCAACTGCCCTAAACCAACTAAGGCTCTCTCATTGGTTTTATCCCACCCCAGGAGGCTTGACGGCCCGAAACCCTGTATTCCGAACCCCCAATCTTAGGGGTTTGGGGTTTAGGGTTTACTTGGAGGTTCATGGGTAGTTACAAGTGGAGTTATAAGTAAGCTAACCATATTTATAACTCATATTAGGGGACTTATAACCCTACTTATAACTACCCATGAGCCTCCAAGTAATAGAGTTGGGAAGTAGCGAACTTTTCGGCAGACGTGGGGTTGCATGGGCTTTTATCTTGTGGCGACACAGCGACGCGACCTACATTCGAAACCGCGTGATGTCGGGGCCTCAATAACTCGATTAGGGTTTTGGGGTATACTATACTGTACTTATACTATAAGAAGGAATCCTCAAAATAGCATACCCTAAACCCTAAACCCCTAAACCCTAAACCCTAGTGTCCGAAAATAGGGGACCCTAATATATGGCACCCTAAATGGTAGGAGCCTTATTATAAGGACCCCCAAATAAGGTACCCTAATTTTCGGAAACTAACATCTGGGTGGTTGTCAAAATTAGGGTCCCTTCTTGGATCCTTATTATAATACGGCACCTGTTAATTAGGGTACCCCAAAAAAGGACCCGAATTTTGACAACCCTAAACCCTAAACCCTAAACCCTAAACCCCAAACCCTAAACCCTAAACCCTAAACCCTAAACCCTAAACCCCATATTTAGCGTTCGCTTGTCCCAGGAACTGGGACCCGAAGATCAGGGGCCCGCGACACTCAATTTAAAGGAAGCTACAGGTGGGGGGTTTAGGG